AGCTTGGAGAATTTAGCTCTAACGCGACATAATTAAGGTAGAATGTATAGAGATAAAAATAAAAATTGAAAATCCTAAAAAGAGAGAAATCTCCTAACGGTCGAAAAAGAAATATGGCAAGTTGAAAACGGTCCGAACAATCTCTCAAAGTAAATAACAACCAAAAACTCGTGAATAAAGAAATATGGATCATGAGAAAAGAAGGTCCGAACAATGTAAATAAAAATAAAAAAAAATTTAAGTCTCAAAACAAATTGAACTCAAACTCCCCTGTTACACATGATAATTTAAACCTAATTTGTTCAAGAATAATCCAAGCAGTTTCGAATGCAATAAAATCATTTTTTCAGGACAACGTGGATAAAATGATTATGTAATATTTCGCCAAATACTTTGACAATGTAAAATTAAAACAATTTTTGTTGAATAAAATGAATATTTGAAAAAATAAATAGGTTTCTGTTTAAAACGAAGAATAAATAAAAAACGATAAAATACCAAAAATATATATGTCTGAAATTTGAACTCAGCTACCCCGAATACGGTAGACAATCCTGAGCCGATCCCATCAATGGCGTTGTCCAATGGACGTCATTATTCCTTAAAGACTAAGTACTCTTTGACTATATAAAAGTACGAACGTTGCTGAGATTGGTATAAACAAGCAATTATAATCTAATTACTGACCAGACATTTCGTTGTAAAATTGCCATATCCTAACGATGTTACATTAAAAATTTTGTTTCAACGTGGAATGGCCGTTCATGTCCTTAATTCCCTTTCTTTTTTTTATAACATCTCTGGATTATCGTCTGCACCTTTTAATGTTGAATTAGTTAAGTTCATATTCAACTGCCATTTCTACCTCTGTTCAATCGGTGGAGAATTGGGTTCAACCGCCCACCTTCTTTTTTAATCATTTCAATGGCTGAGCAATAGGTCAGGTTAATACAAAACCCTGGCTGACATATTTTTTTTTCCTTACTGGTGAAATATTGTATATAATATTTCAAATAAGTTCAATGCAACGTCAATCGTCATCTTCAATCTTCTTGAATCCCGTTCAGCTTTTATATTTTCTTCGTTTTCCCACCACCAAACCAATAGCCAGACGTTTCTCACACCTTCACTCTCTGTAACACCACTGCGTACTAGCGTCATTCCCGCCTTTCTCAATTGGTGATAAAAAATCTCAAATAAAAAACACAAACTAAACCTAAACATCAGAGAAAAAAATGGATTGTTTAAAAACTGCGTGAAATAAATTATAGAAGCCACTCTCTTTAAACCGAGAGAAAAGTTGGCTTAAAATATTTTCTACTGCTAAATGAATTTGTTTTTCTTCGAGCAGTCCCAAGTTACTTGAGGTATTTGGGGCTAACGATGAGGATTTTAAGTTTTAAACACCGTTTACTTCATGAAAGCAGTTTAGGACTGCGAAAAATCGATCATGTCGAATGCGGTGAAGGCGATTAGAAAAGAGATGGGAATGTAAGGTAATTAATTTTAATCAGTGACAACATTTTATAACATTTCAACGTCTGGAAGCGAAGGATATAATTTCGAGTTGGCCCTTGGTCGCGGGTCGCACGAAATCTCCGTGGACCGCATGTGGCCCGCCAGCCACGTAATGGACATCGCTATCCTAAACGAACGAAAACTAAAGAATAAAAAGTAGAATAATGAAGAAAAAAAACAAATCGAGAAAACTTAAAATGAAAAACAAACAAAATATACGAAAAAATAAAAACAGAGGCCGAACGGAAAAGATTAATGTCCTCTTGATATTATATCTCTTTAAAAAAAAAAAAAATGGCATCACTTGATGAGATACGGTTTGCAAACAAGACTTATGATCGATTCAAGAGTGCTCGACTAAATTGACCTTGTGCCATACGAAGCTAAATTTAATAAATAACGAGTGCTTGCCACGTCAGACTCTCTGGAAAGGACACAAGCTGGGAGAACAAATAACTGAAAGGACGAGTAAAAAGAATCACATTGATTTAGATATACTATACCTACAAGGTACCTGAGAGGTACCGGGATCTTTGCCCGGATTGCTCCCCCCGGCTATGGGTAAATAGTATGACAGGCCGGTTTCTATAGTCTTGGATAGCAACTGGTCTACCGCAGAAAGAAATGTCAACCTAAAAAAACGGGAAAAAATCTGCCTCGTCAGTCATGTATCGAAAGATACATGATCGCCAAAGCGTGTATCACGCATGGTACATAACCGATTGACTGATACCTATAATGGAGGCACAGTGGAGTAATGGATAGCAGCTCGGATTGAGGAATCGGACAGTCGATTTCTAATTCCAGTCAGATCCATTACAATCACTCACATGCAAATACACTTAGGAAAGGTATGAATCCTCTTCTTCTCCCCCCAGCTATGGATAAATAGTAGGACAGACCAGGGTCTATAGCCTTGGATGGCAACTGGTCTACCGCAGAAAAAGAAACTTCTGCAGGTAAAAATATCTGCCTCGTCAGTCATGTATCGAAAGATACATGATCGCACAAAGCGTGTATCTCGTATGGCACATAACTGACTGACTGATACCTACAACTAAAATAATGAAGGAAAGTATAGTAAGACGGAAAAAAGATATTGCAATATGTTTGTCTTATATTTAATACTTTTATCTTTTTATTAATGGTGGAGAGAATAATAAATGAAATCAGCGGAAAATCAGTAAACGTAAAGAAAGAAAGAAGAAAAAAAAGAAGAAAAATGAAACATGCAAATAAAACAAATAAAAAAATGTTGATATTTCTATGGGAAAAGAACGGGAGAATGAATAAATGTTTTGTTTTTTTAATAATAAATAAATAATGAATGAATGAAAAAAAAAAAGAAAGGAAGACATTTTATTAATCATAATATTCATATCAGCAAAATAACGGAGGAAAGAATAAAATATGGATAAAGAAACTTTTGTGATTCTTTGCGAATCCTTATCTCATTCTAATCGCCGCTTTTGTGATGTTGGACGCCTTTGCTTGTCACTTGTGTTATGCCAAGTGAAAGCTCGTTATCACTTGCTCGTTATAGTCGACATTTCATAGACGCCGATTCTAGTAGTAACGCCTTCCAATAATATCCGCACTCAGTAATATTTGTTCAAGTAGTAATCGCCAAATAGTATAATGATCAGTTGAGAATCCGTATAGTAATAGAGTAGAGAGAATGAATGTATAGCAATAGTGGACAGACAAGAAGAGTGAACAGTCATCAAGTTACTTCCTATTTATTCACTTCTTTTATGATCACGTTATCTACTTAATTATCTACTTTCAAACCACAGTGTCGACAACAACAATTACTCTTATATAAGATAACGTATAATGCCCAGAAAATGAATTTATTTAAAATTTATAATTGCAGTTATTCGTCGTTGTGTGTTTATTTAAATTTTCTTGTTCTATAGTTCAGAGACATTTTTATTAATTTATGGATAAGTTTATGGATAATATTTTTATTTATGGATAAGATTTTTTTGAAGAAATAAATGTTAATATTTAGATTCAGATATAAGTCAATACTTTCAATGACAAGTAAGAATTTGAACTAACAATTTTTTTTATATTACAATGTATTCAAAATTGCTAATACGACGATTCTATAATTTATCATTAAAAACATCTAATGTATTAATTTCATTTTTTGTGATGTTGGACGACTTTGCTTGACTCTTTTGCTATGTCAAATGAAAGTTTGTTATCACTTCAAAAAATGCTTGTTTATTCAAGACTTCATAGACACCACTACTAGTAGTAATGCCGTCCAATAATATCAGCATTAGTAATACTTGTTCAAGTAGTAATTGCCAAATAGTTTAATGATAAGAAGAGAATCATAATCCGTATAATATCAGAGTAAAAATAGTGAACGTATAGCAATAGTGGATAGACAAGAAGTGTGAACAGTCATCAAACTACTTCTTATTTATTCATTTCCTTTTTTTAATATAGTATAATATAATAATAATGTAATATAAATAATAATTACATTATAAAAAATCAAAATTTACTCACTTTTGTTTATTAGACATTAAATAAGGCCAATTCAAGGTAAGCAAGTACTTGGGAAGTCACCATGTCTGGAATATATATACGTCATACAAAACTCCCCCTCTTTTATAGTAGATTTGGAATAATGGCTGGAATATGCAGCAAGGAAGCAATTCCTGCCTGAGATTGCTCTCAACAATAACAATTTAGTCAGTTTTACAATTTTTTGGAAATGTTCTTGTTATTTAATGTACAATAGCTAACAGTAACCCATATCCTTCCAGTGGCCATTTAAACCGAATGATCACGTGTTCTACATGATAATGGAATCGCCCGTCTTAATCACTGGGGATGTAGTTTCAAACCACAGTGTCGGCAATGAAACTTAATCTTATACAAAAGAAAAAGAGGATAAAGAAAGAAAGAAAGAAAGAAAGAAAGAATGTATGAATGAAAAATAGAGAAAGAAAGAAACACATTTGTATTATCTGTCTATATTTCTGAGATGAGGTATTGCAACTATTTACACCGTTCGAACCGTTGTCCTCACCTATATTGTCATATTACGACGTTTCGGCCGTCTTCAGATGATATACGTTGAAATTTCGGACCGAACCCTTTATTTATGTCACTGAAGTAAATTGTTCAAATTCCACATTCAATCATTATTCTGGACATCTCAGTTTCAAATAATTCTATTTAGTAACTCAACTCTCCAGGTTTTTTTTCTCTGTGGTCGCCAAGTTTATTTGCTGGTCATTTAAAGCTAGAAAATATTTTTTAAATTGTAAGAAATCTTTTTGGAGATATTAATGGTTTAGTGATACAAGTCTGACTAATTAACCCATAGCTGGGGAGAGAGGAGGTGGATTCATACCTTTCTCAAATATATTTGCGCCTAAGTGAATATAACGAACCCACCTGGAATTTAAACTCGTCTCTCCGAGTCATCATCCCTTGCGCCACCAGCATATTCAAGTTTACAGCAACTGGTATTCCCAAGCGGCCACCCATGTAGATACTAACCAGACTCGACGTTGCTTAACTTCAGTGATCATCCAGGAACCGTTGTTTCAGTGTGATGTGGCCGCGTGCCAGAAAGAAATAAAGAAATAATGTATAGATTTATACTAGTGTTTCTCAACCTTTTTAAGCAACGGCACACCTCGGAGCAAATGAAAATATCACAAAACACTTAGCAAAAGTTTTACAGGATATACATTTAAATGTTATAGAATAATAAAACCATAGATGTTTTTAAAATGCACACGTAAATATGAACTTACTTTATTTCAATGTTTCTATTCAACTATTTGTTCGGCTTATTTAGTGTGAAAGTTGTGTCTGGTATTTTTTCATGATGTCTTCAATGTTTGGTCATTTTCGCGGAACACTTAATGGGGTCTCACGGCTCACTACTTTGCACCGGCACGCCGTTGATTTATAACTATTCAAGTTGATTGTCATAGAGCAACGGTGTGCCAGATTGCCCTTCGGTCGATTGGATGTATAGCGATTCAATACCCATTGGATGCCCCACTAATGCAAGCCAGTGTCCTAAACTACACTTGGAAAATGTCAACAAATATTCTCCAGCGCGCCGACGTTAAAGCATCTGCCTTTCGTTAGTAGCTGTCAGTGTAATGTGTTCAAACTTCTCTTTATCTCTCTGCCAAATTCTGTAAATATTTGTAAATATCTGTTTCTCTAGTCTAGCTTTTTCCATTGATCAATTCTGATGGAAAACGTACATGACGGTATAAATGGCCCCACTGTAGAATCCTTCACATTAACACATGACTGATATACATACTTATTGGTAAATTAGAGGAAATAGTCAGCAAGCCAGTGGTTTTTATGTTTACATTAAATATGGTTGGTTGAAGTTCATGCCCACACACTAAAAAAAAGATGAGTTTTTGTGTAATTTGTCGCTGTCCAAACTATTTACCGCGTTAATCCTCCATTTCATTGAGTCGAAGACAGATCACTGAACAGTAAAATCCTTTGGCAGACGATTAACTTTGATCTTCGAAACGTGAGACGCTGTTGTGACGTATGAAGCGTCAATCTCTACATTTGTAACATCTGCAATCGTGAATACTTAATGGCATAATTCCAGTGATTATTGAAAAGAGTGCAGATGTGTAAGAGACAGCAATATATTACCCAAGACTCTGCACCTTATATTAGACTGGAAAGAAAGTATTGTCGCTTCTTTTTATTAAACGTAAGTTTATACAGAGTGCAATGATAAGACTGTCACCATTTTATATTGTTGTTTTTGCGCATGCGCGTTGTTTCTTTTTTTATCTTGTCATCTTTGCAGTATAGTAAGCCCAGTTGAGCATCGTTTGTGAAAAAAAAAGCAACATGACACAAACAATACCACCAGAAATTTGGAACAGGCATGCTGTACTGCTTGGAATTCGCGCCAGAAGCTCCAATACGAACATTTCAGCGTGTTTGTGTGTCAATCTCAAGACAGTACAGAGGATTAGGAAAGAGTTGGATGAATCTAATGGTGATTACGAATGTGTTTGAAGTGACCACTAGTGATGACAACGTTGTCTCCATTCATATTCCCAAAGGGCCTCCGACTGGATGCCTACAAGTGCCTTGAGAAGGTAGTGCTGCTCTGGGTAAAGAGGGTGGATGCTGGAAAATCCAATTTCTGGCAACAGGACTCTGCACTATGCCAGAAAAGCAGGAGAACTCAGTCATGGCTGACAGACAATTTCTACCACCACATCACCCTTACCTCTGGTCACCTAACTTCCCAGACTACAATCATCTTGATTATTACCTGTGCAGTTATGCGGGAGATCAACAAAACTCTTTGTAACACCAAACATGAGTTGAAGGCAAGAGTTATGGCAGATTCACTAACTTAAACAAGGAGACCGTCCAGAAGAGATGCAGGAGATTCTGAAGTCGTTTGGAGGCCGTGGTTGAAGCCAGTGGCGATTTGATTGAATAAATTTACCCTTTAGTATTTCAAGATATTTTTGTGTAATTTTGGTAAATATATCTGTTAAAATGTGATGTCAGTGATATTTTCCTTTTGGCGTCATATGGACGACAATTGACCCATCGCACTCTGTATATATGTTAAAATGAAATGTCAATGTTATTTTCATTTTTGCCTCATTTGGACGGCAATTTATCCATCGCACCCTGTATATCTGTTAAAATGAGATGCCAGTGTTATTTTCATTTTGGCGGCATTTGGACGGCAATTTATCCATCGCACCCTTCATATGACATAATACTTTCAGTATATTTAATGTCAGCCTGAATAATGCTTAAACTGATGTAGGATATTTCCTATAAAAATGAATGTAGTCGACAATAATTTAAAATTCAATGTTTGAAAAGTGATCATTAACTTCGAAAGTGTATAAGAAAAGGCATTTATCTATGGCAAAGAGTGTTATGGTTCAGTTAAAGTGAGCTATGGTTTTCTCAGTTTCGGTCCGGAGATCTTAGTCGCAAAATTTGGACCTCGTTCTGAGCGAAGGACTTCTATCACAATTGAAGATGTCGTAAATGTAACTGAAGAAAATACGAAGTTTACAACAAGAAAAATTAGACAACTGGTTAGTGCGAACCATACAGCAATTAAAAGCCCATATTAAGATAACATATGAAAACTTAATCGGTTTTACGATATCTGATTGATTCATTTTTTACGTCTTATCAACATTTTTAGGTTATATAAAGCGAGGGCTTTTTTTTAAAATCATTTCATCCCAAGCGAGGCGAGAATGCCACTAATATGCAGATGGTTACATGGAGTGAAAGTGAGAGAAAAGACTGAGTATAGGGAGGATTAAGGAAAGCACAAACGATGAACAGGATTCAAGAACACATAAGATGGCCATTGATGTTGCATTTAAATTATGTTAATCATTTCACCCCAAGCGAGGCGGGAATGCCACTAGTACGCAAGGGTCTATTGGGATTGAAAGTGAGAGAAAAAAACTGAGTACAGGGATCCAAGCAAATGGAAGATGGCAATTGACGTCGCACTTAAATTTTTGAAGATTGTAGTTATCAGGGAAGCAAGTAAACGGAAGGGAGTTCCACAGGTGGAAAGTGCGAGAAAAACTGTTCGGGTAGAAGTGGCAGTTGCATTTAACTAGTTCAACAGTAAAAGGATGGAACCAAGTTGCCAATATTTTGGCATGTTTAAATTAATGTAGATGGAATACCAGGTGGGAAAAAAAAAAACATCTGCCGTCTGCTTTTTCCGTCTTTCATTTTACTATAAAAAATCTATTGTTGGTAATTTTATTATAAAAATGTAATATTGATTTTTGTTTCAGGTCACGGTGCAACTGGGAAAAACTACAAAGTGGTGGTTCAACTTTACTCAGAATCTCCGATCTCCCAATCAGAGGTCCTGTTGCCGGCTGGATTCTATCGCCATACCCAGGATGATCATGTAAAAGAACCTGAATGACCAGAATTCTGCAGAATGGTGAATTACAATTATCTCTTATGAACGACTACTTTCTCTGTGTCTCTCACATATCAGTCCATCTTTCTTTCCTTCTTTTACTCTAACACTTTCGCCTCAGCCCCTCAACCTCCGACGTCTTAATCTCTGGATTGAGGTGTCTACTCGGTCCTAACCGAACTTAAGGGAGTGGCCGTAGGTCCCCTGAGCATGCGTAGATCATTCGACCGGTCCACTGGTTTAATCCTGCTTCCTGCCCATGTTGTGTTTTGGTTTGATCCAGAAAGCAGATGTGATATTCATCCATTCACGGTCGACTGAAGATGTAGACACGGCTGGGGAGTCTGCGCTAAGAAATTTAGAATGGAGCAAAAAAAAAATTAATATTTGCAGAAAGCCGGACAAAAAACTATTCAATGATTGAATTGTTTATGTCTTTTATATAGCAGAAAAGAATAGTATAAAAAAAAACGGGGTACAGAAACGAAAAGTAACTGACGTAAAAACGTATACACTGGATTCTGGACAGAGAAAGAGTGTGTTATGGTTAACTTGTTACTAAATCATATCAGAACAATATACGACACTTGCGATGGGGAAATAAGATTTCTGTGCGCGGCTTAAAGTTTATAGTGGCGTTCCTCCTTAGCAGCAGAAACAGTAATAGTGATGTTCGTGGTAGCAGAGCAGCGGTATCAACAGTACATGTTAGCGGACGCTTCGTTACAATCTCTGACGTCACTTTCTCTCCTCTGCTTCTTCCGTCTCTCTCTTCCGTCTCAACGCTCGCCCGTTTGCACGCTCGCCCGGTCCAACTCTCTCTTCTCTCTTCAAGAAATTTCTCCTGTCTGTCTTTTTCAGCCTAACTACGCGTTTATATAGAAAAATCCGGCTGGTTACAACTGAACCTTGGCTCTACTGCTTCGCACGTGATTAACACGGGGGTTCTGGCTGCTTCAACCAAAATCATGTGAATTCAAAAGTTCCTTCTAGCTTACTCAGCTCTATTTCAATTTTTAATCGATAAAAATTATTTCGGCCATTCCCATTGTCCTCTGATTACCCAGATTCAATGGGTAAAACTTCAGGCCTAGATCAAATTTCCACATCAGTAAACAAAATGCTCTGATTTAATTCCACTATTTAAATCTACTTCAAGTTTTAATCAATAAAAATTATTTTGACCATTTTCATTGTCTGCTAATGACTCAGTTCCAATGGGTACAGCTCGTGCCCTAGATCAGATTTTCCCATCAGTAAACAAAATGCTCTGATCTAATTTCGCTGTTCAAATCTAGTCTAATTTCACTAAAAAAAAAAAAATGTGTGTGTGTTTGTGTGTATTTTTCAGACTCTCTCTCTCCGTCACATACAGACATACAACATATACATTTTTGTCAAAATAATGTAGTAGGGAAGTTTTTCCTAATGATTTTTAAGACAATAAGCAAATACAACGCAAGGACTAATTCGTGAAAGGAAACCGAACTAATTATGAAAGTAAGAATTTTTTAATGTTCAAATTCCTCGGGACTTTTTGCAGAAATTGGTACATGGCAGAAAAATGTGACTGTAATTGTTTATCAAGATGATAAGAAATGTAATTTATTCGAGTGTATGTGTGAGAATG